CAGAGGAGGAGGTGTTTTTCAAAAGGGCGACAGCCTCTCCGCGGCTGACACCTGTCAGATCAATTCCGTTTACATTGAGCAGAATGTCACCTAGTGGGGGGGAGAAAAAATTCAATATGCAATGACCAGAAGACTTCTTGTTCAAGACCTGTACCAGTAGGACTGGACGGAATGGGAATCAATAAAGTTGTTTAACTCCACTCAAACCACAGACAGAGCTAATTATTTACACGAGAGTGGGATTTTCCGACGGGGCTTTAACATTTGAAATCGGTCAGTCGGTTCTCAAGTTATAGTTCAAGTCGGAAAAGCTTTAGCTACCTTGATGACATCATAAAAAACGTAAGCTACCAATCAGAACAGATTATCACAACATAACACATAGATATACACCTTTCAGGAAAACATAAAGAAGCCCTGACCTGGACAGTCCAGGCAAGCCTGATCTCATCAGATCTTGGAAGTTAAGCAGGGCTGACCCTGGCAAGTCCTTGGAAGGGAGGCCTCCAAGGAATACCAGGACCAGGACGCAGAGGTAGGCAATCAAGCCACCTCTCTGAAAAACATCCTAGCCCCAACAGGGGTCACCCAAAGTTACCATGACTTCCAGGCTTGCAAACACATACGCACACATGCACACAAATACCAACAATGTTCCCTCTAAGCCGTCGAGTCTTGTGAGCAGAAATTCTACTTTGTGAGCTACTGGCATTAAAATTGTGAGCAAGCCATTTGGCTACTGCATAAATTAGTTTGCTCTGGAGCCACCCTTCCTGAGCTAAGACAAAAATGTGTGAGCTGGAGGCTAAAAAAATGTGAGCTAGCTCACACCAACTCAGCTTAGAGGGAACACACCACCACCAAAAAAAACCCTAAAGAAGTTTTGCCACCTTACCTAATACCAAAATTGAAAATTCTAACTATACGCTATTATAAAGAACTACATGTATATCAAAGACAGAATATGCCAAATGTAAATGAGGGTCTCATTCAGTGTTCCCTCTAAGCTGAGTTATTGTGAGCTAGCTCACAGTTTTTTAGCCTCCAGCTCACACATTTCTGCCTTAGCTCAGGAAGGAGGGCGCCAGAGCAAACGAAGTGATGCAGCAGCCAAATCGCTCGGCTCACAACTTTAATGCCAGTCGCTCAACAAGTAGCATTTTTGCTCACAAGACTCCACAGCTTAGAGGAAACATTGGTCTCATTACATGTCATACAGTCCTGCTCTGTGCTTTATCCCTTGTAAGTGTGTGACTGTTCCTGGGCCTGCACCTGGCTTCTTGTTTTTAAGAAATGAATGATATGTGGCCAAATGTAACAAACTTGTGTTTGTCTGCAACTGAGTATTAATTGCAAAGGACTAGCCATGTAAATCTGTTATAGTGTAATAAAACAAAAGTCCAATGACACTCTAAAGTCTAATATTGAAATAAATGTAGTCTTTAAGATGCCACTGGATTTTCATTTTGTTTAACTGAATGTTAATCAGTTTGAAGGTGCCATTAATTTAGGTACCCTCTAATTGCCACTGGTCTATATATAGTATAGTAATTAAAGACAAAGAGGAGATTTGTTGTTATTACCGTGTTGAATAGTGGGTTCTGAGCATGGAATGAACCCCACCACTGGGTGCCGGTAGGCAGCCCCCGCCCCTGACCATGTGTGTGCCCATAGATAGGGATAATGAAATATGTAAGCCGCTCAGAGACCCCTTGGGGGGGGGGGTTCCAGCGGGGTATAAGCTGAATGTAAAAAAATAATAATGGAGGACCGGACTACAACATGCTGAACAGGTTACGTTTATTGTATAGCACACAAAAGACACCAACTGGCCGGCAAGGGCCAACTATATACGCCCACCCCAGACACACCCCTAGTCTCATTGGAGGGTTTAAATCTCCCACCAAAGTTCCTATAGGTGGACTAAAGGTGGCCCAGGATCCTTGGCCCCTATTGTTTGTGGAGCCAAGCGAGGGACCATGCACGCAGACCCCTAGTGGCGGTCCGCGGACACAATATACTGCCAGAGGATTTTCTTTTTGGACTCAGAACATCATCTTTCATGAAATGAATGACACTTAAATTTTTTTAAAACATCTGTATGTGATCTCTACATTTCTCTATATCTTCACACAGTGCTAAAAAGATAAAACAAAGGTATTACTCTTCTAGCTCGGGTTTGGCAAGCAGTTTCCTTGTCAATTAGCAGAAATAGTAGGGAGAACAGCCTCCCTGCTCGTTCTGCAAGGAAGGTGTGACTCCTCTGCTATCCCCATCAATATTACAGGGCCATAAAAGAGACCCAAGTCGACAGGAAACGTGTGTATTGTGTAATATGTAATGAGACCCTGATATATATTTTAACATTAAAACATATACGTGTAGTAAAACACGATGCATTATAAAACCATAGCACGAAAGGGCACGTAACAGAGAACAGTATATATTGTCGGATGTGTGAACAACATGTGACAGGAATCCGGTATTGTATGCTGTTTCAAAATGTCTTCATCAGAGAATACAAAATTGAAGTAAGATGAAATTCCTGTGCCTAGGGCTGCGGTCACACACACTAAGGGCTCTTTTTGTAGCAGGTACTCATTTGCATATTAGGCCACACACCCCTAATGTAGCCAATCCTCCAAGAGCTTACAGAGCTCTTCTTACAGGAGCTACTGTAAGCTCTTGGAGGATTGGCTAAATTAGGGATGTGTCGCTTAATATGAAAATGAGTACCTGCTACAAAAAGAGCCCTTCAATCCACTTTCGATGCACTTTCCAACTGGACTTTGCCAGTTCACACACAGCAAAATCCAGTTGGAAAGTGCACTGAAAGTGGATTGAGAGTGGATTATTTGGTGCATGTGACTGCAGCCTAGGTCTCCAGTCTCCGATTATAATCAGCACAGCTGCTGAATATTCTGGCTCACTCCCACAAAATGCAGGGCTTTTTTTCTGGGGGGAACACACTGGAGCAGAGTTCTAGAACCTCTTTGACAAAATTCTTTTTAAAAAGCCCTGACAAAACGTCAACTCTAAACATTTAAAAGCAGTGCACTGTATCATCCTTAGTGCAATGGATAGTCATGGGTCTGAGCGCGCTTTGACATTAAGTTCCCAGGGGGAATTCCCAGCTCATGTCTGTTTAAAGTCCTTGAGTATATGGGCTTAGTGGATTCTCAAAATGTTTCTGTACAGAAATATTCCATAGTTCATAATTTTGGTAATACGTTCTAGTAATTCAGGAAAAATGTCCACTTCTCCTGAAAGCATCAGACTGTTGTCTTCACTCTCTGAGTCATACAAATCAGTTCACTACAGGAGGTGAGTCAGAGTCCTGTTTCTGTACAAGCTGCACAGCAAATTAACATATTTGCTATTGAGACTCTATCCGTACATTCTTACAGCATCTTTCAAATAATGTGGTTCAGAAAGGAATCTATGACTAGTTGTCTCCTCAATCTAGTTCATGATTTCAGACCACAATTCCTTTTTGGCATCATATGAGGGGTTAAGTATTACTGATTTTTTTAAAAAAAACTTTTAAAAAAATCAACTTTCAGGTTCAAGCACAGCAGAAATGCCATGACAGTGCTAAATCTCTAGAGGGAAAGGGGTTTCTCTAAAACTGTCTTCCACACTTTCCTTATATAAATCAGTTTAATTTTCAAATTCCAGTAACATTTTATAGCATTTGGATGGAGATTCTTTTAGGCTTCTCTGAATATGTTTTTTTGAGTCTAGAGTGTTTTCACATTTAAGGCCAAAGTGTTTCCTGCTTCAGCTGGGTTTTAATGTGAGTGCAAACTCTCCACTAGCCAGAAAGGTTATTTGTATTACAAATATCTCTCCTCTTGCTTTCCTTTCCACAGGCACAATGATCAGACATAACTGCAAACAGTAAGAGAGAGGTTCAGGGTTGATTTATGCCTCCTGTCTAAAAACAAGCTAGATCCATCTGTATAAGGAAACAGGTTTCATCAGGCTGTGAGAGAAAATACTTTTTGAATGAAGCGCCCACGGCATGGGCTCACGGGCTGCTCTGACTGCATCAAGCAAATCTTGTTGCGTGTGCCAGGAGTCCATGAGTGAAGCAGCTGGTGCACAGCTTTCAGAGGGAGCCAACAGTAATAATTTCCCCCAGAGCAATTTGTTCCTTTTGCTTTAAAACACCTTAAAATTTTATAAAATATTGCCGATATAAAAATGCTGGATTGGCAAGCTACTGGGGCAGAGGGAGGGGAGTGTAGAAAACCTTCTCATTTGAAATTGTCTCATGTATATGAATAACTTAGAACTGAAAGATTTCTATTTTTCTGTTTCTGTTATTTATAGCTCGCCTTTCTTACTGGGACAAGACAGATTGCATAGAGTGAGTCAAGAAAATCAAGAAGATGGGACATTCACTAAACACTGAAATAGGGCTTGGGTTGCAGAACCAACCCCAAGTCTAAAAACAGAACTGAAGCAAGGCATAAGAATTCACATGACACATTAAATGTTGCAAAGTTACACAACATGATCCAGCCCGCAGCAAACTATACACAGGAGTACAGACCACAGTCCCCAATGAGTTATCCAAGTAACTTTGTGATGCCTTTTGTACAGTACTCCCCTATTGCCTATCTAGAAAAGCCCTCTTGAACATTTCCAGGGGTCATTTCGTAGAAAAAGAGCTAGGGGAACTCATTAGCATAACTCATTAGCATATGCCACACACCCTGACATCACCGGAAGTGTGTCATAAGGCCACACCCCCTGACATCACCGGAAATGTGTCATAAGGCCACACACACCGCCTCCAACGGTCCCGGCCGCCGGTGCCTTGCAACTCCACTGCCGAGCCCCATGAGGGGCCCGGCGGTGGACCTGCAAGGCCGGTGGGAGTGCAAGGAAGCCCCGCGAAGGCCCTCCCTGGCCCCAGGCAGGCAGGGGTGGGGAGAGGCAGGGAGGAAGCAACTTACCCTCCCTCTTCTCCGGGGGAACTGTGTTCCCCCGCGTTCCCCCCCGAAATGACCTCTGAACATTTCAGTTTTGCATAGTTTGCGGAAACAGCTGATGACCACCTTTGCAGTGATCTCTCCTATGAAATCTCCTCAGTTCCAATTTAGTGTGATACAGGACGAGGCAACTGTTACAACCAGGATAACTTAAACTCTTATACAAACGTATCAGCGACAGTACAGTGGTTGGTATAGTTCACAAAGACTCGATCATTGTTTCAGTTTCCAAATTTTGCTTTCCCCCCCCCCCCCAAATCTCCCTATTGTTACCTGTTTTGATTCTGCCATCTCTGCTGATGACTCCACCTGGTTCAACACTTATGACATAAATTGGCAAATCCCATTCCCTGTGGGAGGACGCACCACCTGCCACAGTCATTCCCAGTGACTCTGCGTTATCTTTTCGGACAACCACCACCTTTTCATGGCAGGTGACCGCATGGAGGGCAGCCTGTGGAGGACAAACAGCAAACATCAGACTGGTGCATGTGCAGAACCAGTTGTGATAAACTACTCTTAATTCATATATAACTTGCTTAAATACAATGGGCAGGAAAAATACCTGTATTTAGTGCCATTTTGTGGTGAAATGCCCTCCACCCTAGAATTTAGTCCAATAATCCAACCACTGGGTTACACAATATCCATGAACCAGGATCCTTCTGCAATTCTATAGCTGGCAGCAGGGCTATTTTTGGGCAGGAACGCACAGGAACGGAGTTCCGGCTGGCTCCTGAGTTGGCCACGCCCAGCAGGAACTCATTAGCATAATAGGCCACACCCAACAGCAGGAACTCATTAGGATTGGCTACATTAGGGGTGTGTGGCCTAACATGCAAAGGAGTTCCTGCTACAAAAAAAAGCCCTGAGTTTTGACAACAAACAAGGTAAACAGAATAAGAAGCAAAAGGTGGGTGTGGCTGGATGACCACACTTTTGGTAACATGTGGGTGCAGCCTAATGGGCTAATGAGCTGTGCTGTCAGGGGTGTGGCCTAATATGCTAACGAGTTTCTTCTGTTTGTGGGTCCTCTACCCAATGTTATTCAACATCTATATGCGTCCCCTCGCTCAGTTAATCCAGGGATTTCGGCTGGGTTGCCACTAGTATGCTGATGACTCCCAGCTGTATCTGTTAATGGATGGCTGGGTGGACTCTGCTCTGGATACTTTGGCCAGGGCCTTAGAGGCTGTAGCTGACTGGCTACAACAGAGATGCCTGAAACTCAATCCAGCAAAGATGGAGGTCCTGTTCCTGAGTCATGGGGGGATGGGTTCAGGAATTCAAATCCCAGCCCTTGGCAGTGTGCCACTGATGTGGCACCAGTGGTGAAAAGTCTGGGAGTGATCCTGGATGCCTCCCTCTCTATGGAGGACCAGGTCACTAATGTTGCCAGATCAGTGTTCTACCATCTTTGGCTGGTCAGGAAACTAGTTCCCTACCTTTCCTCCCATGACTTGGGGACAGTCATCCAGGCAATGGTCACTTCCAGGCTTGATTACTGCAACTCACTCTATGGGGGCTTACCCTTGAACCTGATTCAGAAGTTTCAGTGGGTACAAAATGGAGTGGTGTGCCTGCTGACTGGGACATCTGTGCATGCACACATTCAGCTGGTCTTGCACCAACTGCACTGGTTACCAGTTGATTACTGAGTTGGATTCAAGGTTATGGTATTAACCTTTACGGCCTTATGCGGCCACAGACCAACATACTTGCAGGTCCATCTCTCCCACATAAGCCCTTAAATGTAACAGACTTGCACTCTTCTGACCAGCACCACCTAGTAGTCCCTGGGATGTGTACAAGCCATAAAGGACTAAGTCTTTAACTAGGACTCTATCTCATCTAGATGGCAGGGGGCAATGTGGAGAAGACCCAGTTCCAAGAACTAAGGTAATGATGGACTTTTATCTACTGAAACTTTAAGAAATACTAGTCTCTCCTAATCAAACGTCATCTAAGATAAGCCTTTCAAAAGTGAGCTGTCTGTTCCTGAAATTTACAGTCTTCTGATCCAATTAACTGCAGTTCCACCTCAGATATAATCAAAAACATGCCACTGAATCTCTACTGGAGTGGAATGCAGTGGCATCAGTTTTGCATGAGGAAAAGGAAGCATACCAAGATATGCTTCCTCCACCGAAGTGAAGTTTGAAACTAACTTGTGCAAGGGTTCTACTATGTACCGTATACCTCACAAAAGGCTCTCAATATACCAGAGTAAATCTATCTAAGACAAAAAGAGATTTTCTACACTAAAGAAACCCAGATGAACTCAGAAGAGATTCTTTTTACTGACAATAATTTTTTTTTTTTAGAGGAAATACCATTTTTGTAAGTCAGGGCTGCATTTGACTTTGTGCCTAAATTTGAAAATTGTCTGTTTCCTCTTGCTCATACAGCCATAATGTTGCAGCTAACATAAGTAGTTGATGTACTGTTCTATGAGAGGCATAGTACAAATTTGAACAGGATTGAAAGGGTGACACTCAGAAGTTAATTGTCATACATGAAGTTTCATTAAAAGGACAAGGAAACAACTGATTGCTTCCTGGGTCATGACCAAAACCCGGTCCAAGTTTCTCTTCAAAGATTTCTCAGAACCACTGCTTATTTAAAGGTTTCCCTTGCTCGAAAGCCAGTTGAATCCAAGTTGTAGAAGCTCAAGTAAGAAAGCGGGAAGGATGAGGGTGCTGGTGATGAAAGGAAATGAAAGCTTTTATTTTAATAAACACCAAGCGGGCTTACTTGGCCTTATTACTGATAACCAAGTCAACCAGTTTAAAGGCAATGTTTATCAATGACAGTGTTTCCATATGTTCTCTTCTAAATGACGGTTTTCCCTTCAAGCTTTCGACATTTCATTGGGGGCTTCCCCAAAGAGGCAGCATGTAACAGCTTGCCTAGTTTGTAATATTTATTTTATGATAAATATTTACAGCAGATTCACTCCACTTGGTGTCCTGAGGATGTCTCATGGGAAACGGCCACTGCTGCGGAGATGTGTACAGTTTTCGTTACTTGAAGCTATCTCTTCAGCAACAGAGTTTTTATTGCCTCGCTGGGCCCAGTCTTTGAAGATTAGATAATAATGTACTTGAAAGCAAAGGAGGGCCATTTCAGTGAAGAGCTGCTGTTTTGTTTTAGTTAAAGCCTGATTTGATTATATATATAGCTCCTACTGACTGCAAAGAGAGCACAGCTCAGCTCAGCCAGAGATTTCAGTGATCCAGTCTTGCGGGAAGGGCGGGAAGCCCCTATTTACTCAAATCCTATTTCCTGTTCTACAGAATCTAGCTGTTTGGCCAGATCTAGTTCTTTAAACCAAATCCTGAAAGCAGTTTCTTTCCAAATCCAGGCAGCCCTGCCACCCACTCCAAAGAGAGTAGGAAGACAGCTGGCTCCCTTCAGAGCCACTCAACACAATCAGGCTGATTCTTCTCCCTCACAAGTGGAGCAAGAAATATTTTAATTCCTCAAGACTGGGTGGACTCTAAACTGAAAGTCTCCAGACATTTGCTTTTGAGTCCCAGTAAAACCAATGTGACAACTCATTACTATTAACTTTCTTTGGACCAGGGCCAGATGCTTGACTATTATGGTCATCTTTTTAATAGCCAAAAGGGTGTATCTAGAAACACAATCAAGCCCAAGCACGGACCAGTTACGGGCAGCAGAAACCACCCCTTTTGATGAAAAACGGGGACACCCGCACGCATCACCTTCTCTCAGTGCATCCATGTACCCTATTCAGTTCAACTAAGCGATTCCTTAGAAGAGGGACCTATTTTCTTAACCTCTGTTATCACAATTTTTTTAACCTATGCTATGACAAATTGCCCTGGCCTGGATAGCCCAGGCTAGCTCGATCTCATCAGATCTTGGAGGCTAAGCAGGGTCGGCCCTGGTCAGTATTTGGGAGGGAGACCACCTAGGAATTCCAGAATCACACCGTAGCAATCATTTGCAACTGGGTTGGCTTGTCCACAGAAGACAATCCAGTTGCAAATGACTCCTGTTGTACAACAAAGGTGCTATATCCAGTGATGTGTGGATTCAGCCTGAAAGTGGATAGTATGAAACCATTTAATGTTAGATGTATTCGGGTAAACAGGAAAAAATAGCCCGCCTGCTTGAAGGTCCTTCATTTCCTTTCCTCCTTGCATGAGAACAATCAGATATGGGAAGCTAGATTTCACATTCTCTTGTTGCACAGGCAGCGTAACAAATGTATAATCACACTCAGCTGCCCAGTATGTAAAACATGCTTCAAACTGCCATTAATGAAGTCTGAGGCTGTGTTTGTTAGGATGCCTCACAACTTCCTTAGCACTCAAAATGCTGGACAATTCATTGTTTACAACTGGCCGTGGCTTCAGAGCCAGCCTCTTTCCACATGGAGGCAGGATGTCATGGGTTTCCTCTGCCAAAATGGATGCCTGAACCGTTCTTATAACAACACATGATGTCGAAGGCTGGGGCTTATTCTTGGCACTGGATATTAGAAACGTGAAAGCAATATTGATCCAGCATTTACATCTGCGTTCTAGAAATGGCTGAGGAGAGAACTGGCTCTCTGAGGAAAAAAAAGGAATGATGGTTAAATCAAATCATCCTAGAGAGCATAGAATTTTTCTCAAAAATATGTCACTGGAATATATACACTCATGTTGAACTAGTCGGATTTCATTGAGCAATCAAATATTTTTTGTTTTTAATCACGACTCGAAGAGGAATTAGATTGAAATGACATTATGCATGGCCTTTTGAGACCAGTCTGGGTTGAAAGGAAAAGGCCCGTTTATTTCTTCACGCAATGCATAATTAACTTGCAGAACCCTCAAGGTTTGGTGAAGGCTGCTAGTTTGGGTGGTCTTGATGGACTCGTGGATAGGGTTGCCAGCTCCAGACTGTGAAATTCCTGGAGAGGTTGGGGGGGGGGGTGGAGCCCGCGGAAGGCAGGGTTTGGAGAGGGGAGAGACCTCAGTGGGGTAAAATGTCATAGAGTCCACCTTCCAAAGCAGTCATTTTCTCCAGGGGAACTGATCTCTTTTACCTGGAGACCAGTTGTAATTCCAAGAGATCTCCAGCCACCCCCTAGAGCTATTCAAGTCTTTGAGAGAAAGCATAAAAAGAGAAATCTGAATAAGAGAAGAGTTCACTGATTGTGAGCATTATGCAGAGAGACAGCATGCAGAGATGAATGCTCAGCAGGAAAGGATTCACTAAGTCTACATTTAAGTCTGCTCTGAAGAAGCCTTATGAGAGGTGTTGGAGCAAGCCTGTCTGCAGATTCATGTCCTTTATGCTATTTGACTACAATCCAATATTAGTACAAGAAAGACAAAAAGAAGATTTACTGTTTGTAAGAACTTTAGATTATTGGACTGTGCTTGTCAACATTGTGGAATCATTTTTTGATATTTATTCTTGTATGACTGTTAGGGTTGCCAAGTGCAACTTACCTTAGAGTGGGGGAGTCCCGGGATCTGTCCTGAAGCTTTTCAGCGCGCGTCTGACACCACCCGGAAGTGACGTCATCACGTCAGTCACGTTGGGGGTGGGACCACTATGATTCGAGGGGAAACCATAGAGTTCTCCCTCGAATCATAGAGCGTTCCCCCCCCCTCTGCAATGTGCCTGGTGTAATGATGTCACCTCCGGGTGACATCATCACGCCGGGCACATCTGCACGTTCCCGGCATTTGAGGGGTGGGGTTCCCCCCGGCGGCCTTGATCCAGGCCGTCGGGAAACAGGACCATCGAGTGGGGGTTTCCCCGCCCCCTGGGGGGACTTGGCAAGCCTAATGAATGTACAGAAATGTATTAGTATGACTATTGATCTATTTTTTTAAAAAAAAAAAATCTATAAAAGAGTGATATTCCCTTCGTAAATATACCATGCTTGCCATTGGCTGTTTTCTACTCACTTATCCCATGATCTCTCTTTGGTTACCCTTACCACCTGGAGCCTGGCAACCCCACTTGTGGAGGATATTTGAATGGATATTAGCCTGATGGCTGGATAAGGTTTCCATGTTTGGAGGAAGTATACTTCTGAATGCCAGTTGCTAGGGCAGGCTGCAGTAGGAGGGAGGCGTTTGTCTTTATGCCCCAGATGTGGGCCTTTCTGGGGCACATCTGGTCAGCCACTGGGCAAAGCAGCAATAGACTATTGGGTCTGATTCAGAAGGGCTCTTCGTTATGTTCTGTGATGATCTCCAAATAAATATATAAAAATACATTAAGAACTAAAAGAAGATTAGGATTATATATTGCCAGGATCAATTATACATACAGATTGAAATCAACATCATTGGACTGAAATTGCATCTACAGACTGAAATGAGTATGACATTCCAACATTGTAAAGATAATGTGCCACAGAGCACATTGTAAGACTGTGTGAAGAAGACCAGTTCTTCACATGTAAAGTGACTCCCTTGAGCAATACCATCTGCAAATAAATAGGGTACCCTCTCCTCTGCATGGGAGCAGAGCCAAATTCCAATACTTAGGCTTCCTTAAATCAACAGGAAATAAATGGTATTATGAGAAGCATGCAGCTTATTTTAACTCAGCATCAGCTAACTGGGGAATGTGGCCAGTCCAGATCTTTCAGACACAGCTGTAGGAAAATGGAAGTTGACCCGCAGGTACAGACATGAGACAGTTTCCCTCCAAAAATCCTTTTATTTATTTATTTATTTACAGAAATATCCTGCAGGAAAGTAGTGATTTTGTTAGAGGCAGGGGTCATTTGGGGGGGGGACGCGGGGGGACGCCATCCCCCCGGGTGAGGTGTGGGAGGGCGGGGCCTGGAGCTCCCTGCTGGTGCCCGCTGGAGGTCGCCGCCGGCTGTGGGGAGGACACACTTCCGGTGATGTCAGGGGGTGTGGCATATGCTAATGAGTTATGCTAATGAGTCCCCCTAGCTCTTTTTCTACGAAATGACCCCTGGTTAGAGGGATAGAACACCCATACTATGTGCCTATAAAAACTGGCTAGTCGAATCTAATGGCTGTTTTAGACTTTGGCTCCATTCTTGCTACAGAAAGGTGAAGGAAATCATAAGATAAGACACCACAGATTTATACAGCACAGAAGATCTGCCACACAGATGAAGCAGTTTGTGTCCAAGGGTACGGGGGGGGGGAGGGAGGGAAGGGCCAGGGATCAGGTGTGGCACATGGCATGAGGCTTTCCTTTCTACCCAACTAAAAAAGAAGGTAAACAAGAGAGATCAGCTAATGTTGCTCAAAGCAGCATGAACTTTCCTCTTCAGATGTGACCTCCATTGAAGAGGTCAAAAGAGGGCAAGCAGCAGCTATCAGCTAGTCATTGTGTGGTTTACTGGCCAGTCATTGCTAGCACATGGAACAAAGAGAGGGACAAAACTGACTGAGAGGCTATTTTATTTTAATGATCTCAAACCACTTTCCAACTCCTAGGGTCACAGGAGGCAGTGCCAACTTGCTAATGCTACAGAGTTGCCCAAGAATTCAATCAATGGTGTTAGCAGAAAAACACCTGAAGAAATTTCTCCCACAAATTCCTTGTTGTAGGGTGTGAAAGTCGGACAGTGAAGAGAGCTGAGAGGAAGAAAGTTGATTCCTTGGAAATGTGGTGTTGGAGCAGAGTTTTACGGATACCATGGACCATCAAAAACACAAATCAGCGGGTTCTAGATCAGATCAAGCCTGAACTCTCCCTAGAAGCTAAAATGACCTCACTAAGGCTATCATACTTTGGTCACATTATGAGAAGACAACGGTCACTGAAGACCACAATGTTAGGAAACGTTGAAGGCAGCAGGAAAAGAGGAAGGCTCAACCTGAGACCGATTGACTCCATCAAGGAAGCCACAGTTCATTATGGACAAGATGACAGATTGCTTACAACAATCAGATCTTTTCCCAAAAATCTCCAACCTCGAGGAGAAATGGCTTCCGTTCCTAGAATTTACAGCAAACTATGACCTTCAACCACGTAATCCTGTTTATCTCAAGCTGCTTCTTGCCTAAACTACTTTATCCTCCGCATTGACTAGTCGTGAACCAAGTGTGTGATTTTTGAGGCAAAGATTATTCTGAATACTAATTATACTTATATAACTCCTAAGGTAACGATGCTCACAGTATTGGTATCTTTCTCTACTCGGAAGATTGCAGTGGAGAAAGGGGCTCTCTATTGCTGCCTCCTTACAACAGTCAAGCTCCTATCCTGATGAAGCACTGAGAAGATATTAGCCACAAGGTATGGATGGGGCTCTGGGGCAAGTGATGCTCTATCTTCTTGGTGCTTGGGGGGGGGTCAACAGTGGGAGGGCTTCTGATGTCCTGGCCCCACTGGTGGACCTCCTGATGGCACTGGTATTTCTGGCCACTGTGTGACACAGAGTGTTGGACTGGATGGGCCTTTGGCCTGATCCAACATTGGCGTTCCTTATGTTCTTATGTTCCTTAAGAAGAGCCAGAACCGGGACCAGGTAGTGTCTCGAAGGCCCAGTTCCATCCCTGATTTGTGCTGTTGTTAAATGGCTGGGAAGCATGGCTATAGTGAGAGAAACCTTTTTCTGAATGCCTGCGAAACGGCTGTATCTGCTGGACGGGATGGGGGGGAGTGGGGGAAACTGAGGCAAGTCTACTCCCTCAGGTTCCCGAGGGCACCCATTGTTTTTCAGCCTTGACAGGCCAAGATGAGTTTCGGGTTGGCAGCTGCCACGAAAACCATCATTTACTTACAGAGAAAGGGAGTATAAAACGCTTGTTGAAGAATTACAGCCTCTTCTGGTTTTCTGTCGATGTGCTCAGTAAATCAGAGCAGGGATCTCCAGGCCCTGACGTCGCACTGAACCTCCTCCCTCCAGGCATCTCTCTCTTGATAACAGTTAACCCCAGTCTGATTGACAGGACGAGAGTCGTATTCATCTTCTACCAGACTGCAGGGATTTCTGAAGCTACCCAGCAACATCCTTGCCTTTTTAGCTTTGCTCCAGATGGAGAAAGTGCAGATAAGTCCTCCTCTTTAATTCTTATTAGAGTGTGATTACATTTTGCTGCAAATCAGCGTGATTGAATAGAATGCCGGGTGTACGTCCGCATAAAAATAATTTGTGCTCTGTGATTATCTTACAACTTCCCCCCTCTCTCTCTCTCCCTCCCTCTCTCTCTCTCTGATTCCCCACTGCTCGTTCACAAGACAGCAGCACTTCCCAGAGTATAAACAAAGAGAATCACTGTTTCTGTGTTTACACAGCAGCATTAAAATGTGCTCCTTTTGGTGACACTGTCCAGAGATTGGATTTAAGAGACTTTAACATATTAGTTAACATACCAGACCTCTTCTTTCTTTCCCTCCACAGAAGGAGCCATAATAAGGGGGAATAGTGGTAGGCCTCACCTTGTTAGGGTTATTCCTCTGCGCCGGGCAGGGTGGATGGCTACCATTGTAATCCCACCCAGCCTCCTGCAAGATATCAGGAGGCGTCTGCTGCCTGGTTTGCCGGGAGACAGCGAAGTGGACACGCTTCTCACTAGCCTGCACATTGAGACACAGATAAAAACATGTTTTTTGTCAATCACAATTCAAAGAATGAATATATTCTTTCAAATGACTTAACTGACATCACTGTTTATCCTGGATAAACAGAGGGTATAGAAATCTTCTCTCCCAACAGGTCCACTGCTGTCTCAAAATTGCTCATCATACAAGTCACGAAATTGTCAGCATTTTCTTTTGTTTTTTTTAAGTACCCATCTTCTTTTATAATCTACAACAAACTAATCTACACACTACAAACAGACACTCTACTACACATAACATGTATGCCAAGAGTACAGTTACATTATATGCTTATAACCAATTACTTAATTAATAGAAACGCTCTATCTCTTTCCATTCTTCTGTCTTCTGTGTTCTCAAGTCCATTGTGCCATAATTGCCTAATCTTCTATTGTACTTACATTATACCAATCATAAAACTTTTTCCATGTTTTTTGAAATGTCCACTCTTTGCTTAATCTCATTTCTAAAGTTAGTTTATCATTTTCTGCTGTTTCAAAGAGTTTATTCACAAATTCCTGTTTTGTTGGTATCACCATAGTTTTCCAATATTTGGCATATAAAATTCTTGCAGCTGTCATCATATAAACAGTCAAATACCTATTCTCTTTTTCATAATCTTGTCAGCATTTTCTTGTGATTTACAGATGACATGACTTTATGGTTGCACTTTTTTTGACTAAAGAATTATTTTGATACACTTATGTGAGTAGGGCTGCCAGGGTTCTCACTGTGGCAGGAGGCCTCCCCGCTGATGGTCTTCCCTTGCAGAATACAAATGCTGCCAGCCCCTTCATCAGTATATCACTTCTGGGTACAACTCCCAGGTCCCACCCAGTGCTTCCTACGCAGAGCGCAGAAATGTACCCCAGAGACCCAGCAGCTAAGCAAAGCAGTGCTCTGGATCAGCTAATGGGAGCTGCAGTGGGAAAAGTCAAGATCTGACAGGGGAAGGTTGTTGAAGTTGGGTTTTGATGACTCAGGACAAAGCTGTACAACACCTACAATGAGTCAGTTTAGGGTTGCCACATCTGGGTCGCAAAATTCCTGGAGATTTGCAAGGTGGACGCTGGGGAGGGTAGGTTTGAGGAGGGGCGGGACCCTGTAGGGTATAATGCAATAGAGTCCCATCCTCCAAAGCAGCCATTTTCTCCAGGGGAACTGATATCTGTGTCTGGGGCTCCTTTGTGATTTCCAGAGATCTCCAGGCCCCACCTGGAAGCTTGCAACCCTAAGGCAGGTCCTGGTTCCAGGACCCAACTCAGTTTCCCTGCAGCCGCACTGAAGCTTCAGGGAACATCGTTTACAAAAGAAAACAAAACCAAAAACAGCTCAGGGCCATGGCATGACAGTCTCTTGCTGTTGTGTAGTGGGTTTGCCACATGGACGAAAGACAAAGACTGGCATACTGCATAGCACGCTTTATTGGTACACAACAAGAACTAGGACTAACGGCCGGCTGGCCAACTATATACACCCCTGGGACACACCCCTGGCTCCCGTTGGTGGGTTTGAATCTTCTGCCCTGGTTCACATTGGCTCCCCCAGTGGAGGGACTAGAAGCCTAGTCCCTATTGTTCTCCCAGAGTCAAGCTCTGGGGTAATCGCTGGCCCTAGTGCCAGTCAGCGGACACAACACTTGCCTTCCCTCTGCACCATTTTCCTGAGCCAAAATGGCCCCAAGGAGGCCTTATCTGCCCCAGTTTGAAGCGGAACATGCATGACTCATTAGAAACTCTGTTGCGTAGTCGGCCCTGAGAGTCAGGAGTTAGGTTTTGAGATTACCCTGACAGGAAAGCAGTAAAGATCAAGGGATATCAGATCTTTTAGTTAAGTTGTTGTTGTTGTTGTTGTTGTTGTTGTTGTTGTTGAGGGAACTAAGCATACGGATTATGGTTGGCCAACAGGGTTTTTTGGGACCTGGTATGTAACTTAACTGCAGTAGCATGCTGTGTTAGTATGTTATAAATATGCCTGAGAGAGTATCTTCCTGAGGCATGTTCTGTGTAAAACCTAATATCCCACAACTCCTGGTTCTAACATCCCACAACTCCTGTTTAAGTGGCAGTATTTACCTCAGTTGTGTGTTTTCTGAAATAAACTTCTTTTTCTTGAGCACTTTTAAAAAGAAGCCATATCATTTCTGCCCATTTTACCTCAGTTACCAATCCAGTCTTGGGTACATTTATACTCAGGACCCATCCTATCCTCTCAAACCTGGTATTCTTTTTTTAAATTTTCCACCTGGGAATCCCAGTGTAGTGGGTTAGGTAGGAAACTGCATTGTGGTGGGTGGAGGGCAAATTCAAGTATGTGAACAATAAATAAATAAATATATATGTGGTGGTGGGTAGCCCCTGGAAATCTGTCACAACTTATATCTCCATTTTTCTCCTCAGTGTCCCACCCAAGTGGCTCTCCAAAAAAGAAACCCTCTGGAAAAAATTAATTAAAAGAAAATACAAGTAAACTGGAGTATGAAAAAAATCAAAGTGCAGGTTCTGTTCAAAGCACCATGTTTCTCCATGTGCAACAATGATAACTGAACAAAATAATCTGTGACCCACACAATTTGCATAGTGTGATTTCTCTTTTCATAGGAACTGTACAAGCTGTACACACATAGACTCCATCCTGATGACTGGGACACATGTGCTTCCCATGTGAAGCACATACAGAGAGATGGGGCCAGTGTACCTGTGCTGGCCTTGTACAGAGGTATCTCATGTATATAAGACTGTTTGTTTTCTCTAAAATAAACTAAAATATTTTACTTTATATTGCTACCATATCATCTTATAAAAAGGAAAAAAAGAAGAATGTCTTTAAAGGTTTTAGATAGAAGTCCCAGGCTTGCTATGAAGACTAATTAATATATTAACCTACACCATATGTAATGTTATAAAGTCAGCTGAAGAGTAAGCTACCTCCTCTTAGTTTATCTGCAAACTGGTTTCTTACAAGAAAGTTTTTTTTTTAAAGTTTTATTTAAAGTTTAACATACATCTGTTCATTGTACAGTATTGCATATATTTTCAGAGTCCACTCTTTTTATCCAACCATTTGTACAATCCTGCCCATCTATCTAAAAAATCTTCGTCATTTTTCCCTTGTAGATACATATTTAATTTATCTATTTCCGCTACTTCCAACAGTTTACTCAATACTTCATCTGATCTGGGTACACAATCTAGTTTCCAATATTTAGCCCAGAGTATTCTTGCTGCCGTTATTACATACGCAATTACATATTTCTCATTAAAAGAAAACTTATCTGGGATAACATTCAGTAGAAATATGTCTGGTACCATTTCCAATTTTACTTTCAAGATTTCCTCTATAAGTTTTTGTATGGTTTTCCAATAATTTTGAATTTTTTTACAACGCCACCACATGTGGTAGAAGGTGCCAACATTTAGTTTACATTTCCAGCAAACATTTGAGCAATTTGGGTAACATTTGGCTAACCTTTCTGGGGACCAGTACCATCTATGATACATTTTGAAAACATTTTCTCTATAATTAGTTGCTCTCATATATTTTACAGATTTCCATATCTTTAACCAAGATTCCTTTGGTAACTCAAGGCCTAGATCTTTTTTCCAAACCGCTAGATTATGGGTTTGCGCTTCTTCTGATAAATAATCCTCTAACAATATTTTATACATTTTCTGGATCATTTTATCATTTGATGAAAGCCAGATTTTATCTAGCTCATTTTTTTCTTGGTAGAAACCCACTTTCAGATCTATCTGGAATCTTGATTTTAACTGGAGCTTTTCCCACCCCGATAATTTCAAATTACATTGTGACAGTAAATTCTCCTCTGTTTTGAGGTGGTTTGTCTAATCTAATAGTTTTTCGTAGGTTTCTTTGTTATACTGGGTAAGGAACGCTGGTCTTATAAAGGCTTCCAAGGGAGACACCCATTTCGGTATTTTGGTATAGAATTTGGTATAGAAAGTTGTAAATGTGATTAATTGCTTGAGGGAAACAAATCTCCCAAGTATCTCTTTGAAATGTCACAGTTCTTTCTAAATCAAATCTGCTTGGGTCATTCAAGTTCACATAATTCTCAGGGTTTAATATGAACCAAAGTGAAGTAGATCCCTAGTATTCCCATTTTCTTGGACAATGAAGCCCATACATTGTCTCAGTACAACCAAAGCTAGTAGTGACTAGGCATCACTGAAACCAATGGAACAGCTTGGAAAACTTACTCTGTGGCAGTGATAGCTGCTAAGAAACATTACTTCTGTCATGTATACAAAGAGTCCTCCAATGAAGAGGCTGATTACATTCTGGCATCCAGGACTACATAGTGAGATCACCTATGGATCGCTGTGATACATTTTATAAGCACTTTGTGTGTGTGAGGGAAATCTCTAATATTTGATCCAAATTCACTCATATCTGATCTGATCTGATCTGATCTTCCCATTAACAACTGTTGTACAACAGGAACAAAAATGTTGCTGAGGCACCCACTTGTTTATACAGATATATCTCAATGACATCATACAGGTATCTTTTAACAATATCAAATGGAGGACATAGGCAGGGTACTTGGAGATGTGAGGTATACCACTTGTGCGCTAGGTCCATTCACCTCATGGCTTGTGAGATCTGCTGGGGTACGGATGGGATTAATAACCAGGCTATAGTCTATTATTAATTGTTCACTACAAGAAGGTGTTGTACAGCTAGCTCTTAAGCAGACTATACTTAGACCATTATTACAGAAACTATGTTTAAACAGTGTGGAATCTGAATTACTAAAAACAGAGATCAAATTTCCACTTTGGGGGGAAAGTTTTGCAGAAGGTGGTAGCTGAATAAGAAGAAGAGAAGAAGAAGAGATTGGATTTATACCCCGCCCTTCACTACCCAAGGGATTCTCAGAGTGGCTTATAAACTCCTTTCCCTTCCCCTCCCCACAACAGACACCCTGTAAGGTAGGTGGGGCTGAGAGAGCTCTGACAGAAACTGCTCTTTTTCAAGAACAGCTGTTTCAGAACTATGGGTTGCCCAAGGTCACATCAGCAGGTGCAAGTGGAGGAGTGTGGAATCAAACCCGGTTCTCCCAGATTCGAGTCCGCGTACTTAACCACTACACCAAACTGGCTCTCATAGAATCATAGAATCGCAGAGTTGGAAGAGGCCATACAAGCCATCTAGTCCAACCGCCTGCTCAATTCAGGGTCAGCCTAGAGAAAGGGTGTAAAACATGCGGCCCAGGGGCCAGATCAGGCCCCTGGAGGGCTTCTATCAGGCCCGCAGTGGAACTGGCTGTCTTCTGCTTCTTCTTCCAGTGCTGCTGCATCATCGTAGGTTTGCAGCTTACAGATACACACCTGAACAGCATACTCAAGTTTGCAACAGCACAGACATTTTGATGCAATAATTCAAAGTAAGAGGTGTCAGTTATCAGACACTGTTAAATAAACAAAATATTGCAAGAGTGCTAATGTTTTAAGCATGTTTTAAAGTTAAAAACCCCATTTGTGTTTGTGTCCTTTATAAAGTTTATATCTCTGCTAGCTGGCATTACATTTTATGACACGCATGGCCTGGCCCAACAAGGTCTCATTTATGTCAGATCCAGCCCTCATGAGTTCGACACCCCTGGCCTAGAGCATCCCTGACAAGTGTTTGTCCAGCCACTGCTTAAAGACTGCCGGTGAGGGGGAGCTCACCACCTCCCTAGGCAGCTGATTCCACTGTTGCACAACTCTTATTGTACATTCCCCCCCCCCCAATATCCAACTGGTACCTTCCCGCCCTTAACTCTAGCTATTCATGGATTAAACTAAGTATCTTGATCTTTTCCAGTCAGGATTCAGGCCTAGCTATGCCACAGAAACCACCTTGGTTACCCCATCAGATGATCAAAGCCAGTCTACCAACAGAGGGAATGTGTCCCTGCTGGTCCTCAAGGACCCTCAATGGCTTTCAGTTCTATCAACTACGGTATCCTCCCACCATATGCTGAAGCCTAGCTGTTGCCAGGTCCAGTGTTCCCTCTAAGCTGAGTTAGTGTGAGCCAGCTCACAGTTTTTAGCTTCCGGCTCACACATTTTTGTCTTAGCTCAGGAAGGATGGCTCCAGAGCAAACTGATTGATGCAGTGGCCAAATTGCTCGCTCACAATTTTAATTCCAGTAAGCTCACCAAGTAGAATTTTTGCTCACAAGACTCCACAGCTTCGAGGGAGCATTGGCCAGGTCCCCTCTGGCTACTTGCAGGGGATGGGGGGAATGGTTGCCAGATCCTGGAGATTTGGGGGTAGAATGTGGGGAGGATAAGGACCTCTGTGGAATACAATGCCATACAGTCCATCCTGCAAAGCACCCATTTTCTCCAGGGGAACTGTAGCCTGGAGATGAGCTGTAATTCTGGAGGATCCCCAGGTCCCACTTGGAGGCTGGAATCCCTAGACTTTAGGAATCTTTAAACCTGCATCTTAAATTGGTCCTGGAGAAGGATTAGGAGTCATTGAAGCCTCTCAAGTAGCCCTAAACAGAAGCCAGTCACATTTCATACCAGCTGCAATTAGGAAACTCCCAAGACAAGGCCTCATACAGTTAGGGCTGCCAAGTGGGGGCGGGGGGCGGGTAACCCCCCACTTTGGAGGCCCGATTTTCGCCGCCGCGGAATTGGGCCCCGGGGGAACCCCGCCCCCCGAAGCACAGCGTGGGTGCGTCACAGGAAGTGACGCAACCACGTAGATCACGTTGGGGGCGTGGCCCCAATAGTTGGAGGGAAAACTCTATGGTTTTCCCTCCAATGATTGGGGCCACGCCCCCAACATGCTCTACGTCGTGCATCACTTCCTGTGACGTTCTGGCAACACGCGCACACTTCACGCGCGCGTCCAACGGCAGCTACCGGACCCAAACGACGCTCCCCCGCCAGTGAGTCCAAGTGACTTGGCAACCCTACGTACAGTACACTGTGGTATTCAAGTTGTTACATTTCCAAAACACATATGTGACAATTCTGAGATCCTGGACCTCCAGTACATAGAGTTTCCTCCATAAAATGATCCCTAGTGGTATCCTTTCTAACTGTGTGGAGCTATCGGAAATAAACATGCAGCTGTGTACCTGGACATCAACCATTCCCCCTGCAAAAAAAAGAAAACCCACCAAGGCAGGGCCTCTGACGACATAACCCACCAGCAATTTAGGACATTTTGTCCTTGTCCAAGAAAACAGGCTTTTATAACCACAAGAGTCTAAGTCATGTGCTGCTTTAGAACTATGGCACTCAATTAGTAAGTCACTTTGACCCATTCAATAAATTCGACTCCCACTTTTCCATGAATATTGGCAAATGGTTCACATTTAGGGAATGCAGATCACTTGCCTTCAGTGAAAACAGGGGCTGTAGCCAGGTTATTAAGTATCTCAGCACTTATTAAATACACTCAAGAAATATGACAAAGTTGTTGCAACAGACCTGTATCAGCTGGGCTGCACTCTCTGGACTTCCGTATCGAAGATCGTGGCCATTGATAGCTAAAACCCTGTCATTCTCTTGAAGTTGCCCATCCCTGGCAGCGACGCCTCCTTCCAGCAAGTTGAAAACAAACACCCCGGTTTCGTCTGCCTTGCGGACCAGCTTGATGCCCAGCTGCTCCTCGGGGGTGCTTTTGTTTAGAACGACGTGGACGCTGTTGTCCCTGTTGCAGGGAACCTCCAGGGGAATCCCGCTGTTCCGACACCTGTACCTCTGCTCCCTGAGCACCGTCAGCCGCAGGACTTGGCAGGGCTGCCTCAGAACTGATAAGGCGTAACTGTGTGGTACGTTCCTGATGTCCATGCCATTGACCTGAAAGACAGAACCATGAATCGATATGGGGAATGGGCTGCCTAATTGGAACTGGCATTGCAGACAAGACGGCCTATTTACTCAGATGTCTTCCTGTTAGTCTGACATACGGCCAAGATTTCATTATAAAATATCCTCCCCCTCAAGCCTCCAAGGACGGCACACTGTGTACTGTCTTCCTCCTCTCTCGCACATTATCTCCAGACATAAGGGCTATTTTTCAATTTTGTCAGTGCTCCTTCCTTAGCCTCCAATATCCTCTTGCCTGTCTTAG